ATTAATTAATTAATGAATAATGAAAATATTTCCCACATTGACAATTGTATTTTACCAACCCGTTCAGCTCTCTTTGGTGCACTAAAGGTCTGGCATGTGGTTGGTTATATCCTTGTTGTAACAATACTTCTTGACAATGAATCTTATATTATTTGAAAGCCTTTTTTTTTTTTAAGTTGGGCCATATTTGTTAAGAAAATACAAACAAAAAAGGGGAAAAGAGCATTCAGTGTCAACAGCAAAGTATTGGATCTTATTTCTTGGAAATTATTTTGAGCCTTTCTTAATAATAAGCAACATGAATCTGTTCATCAGTGCCAGCGTTTAAATTTTTTTTTTTATCCTAGTTTCTACATTTTCTTCTTGTTTGAATTATTTAAATTATTGTCTTTTTATTGTGTTTGTGACTCTTTTATGATGTGTGCTGTTCACTTCTGCCCAGGTCCACCTTGCAAATTAGATCTCAATGGGCTTTTAATCTGGTTAAATAAAGGAAATGAAATGCATTTGTGGGTTGAGAATGTGGGCTGCGCCCATGAACTACTGACTAATGACTGTTGATTTGAGCTTCTGCTTCCTGATTGTCAGCACCTGTAAACAACCAGAGACAGTCCCATATATCCCCAGTCTGGATTGAACTGTATCCACCAAGAAGCTCGCCCTCACAGGGCGAGGTTGATCAGAGACTACTTCCAGAATTTGCCATGGAAGAGGGTGGAATGCTCTGCCTGCAGCCTTGAGCTGAACGTTATTGAACACCTCTGAGATCATCGTGGGCCTGCTATTTGTTCATGTTGGCCAATTTGCTACAAATATTGGTTGAGAATGTCATCCTACTGCAGTGTGTGACCAAGCTGATGAGCAGCACGAGGAAGGACGTGCCAGGCTGTTGTGGCTGTGTATGGTTCTTCCCACATGCACTGAGACCCCCTTATTTGTCTTTCTTCTTAAGATTTCAATAAACCAATACAATAAGCAACACCAAACAAGAAGAAAAAGATTTGGCAGTAAGTTCATAGGCACAACCCACCATTGCAGCTCTGTTGCTCAAACCCACTAATGTATTTTCCCAACAAGAGAAAGAAAAAGAAACTGGCTTTCCATGGTATAAGATTTTGTCAATAAGTATTGTTACAACTGAAAAAATTATCAACGAAACACAACTTTCCTCATTGTTTGTGGTAAGTCTATATTTAAAAAATATCAGGTGTAGTGTGGAAGGGGCCTCTGTGCTGTCAGGGAGTGAGAATGGTGACAATAATAAACCACTAGAAGCAGCTTTAACATTCTTTTCCTATCTTGGTTGGCTTTTACACTTTTTATACAGTTTATACATCACAACAGAGGAGGAGGAGTGTCCAACTCAGTTACAAAAGGGGCCAAAATTAAAAATTTGATCCAAGCCATGGGCCAATTTTAGTTAATAAGTCAGGTCAGGAGCATCAACAAGAGTTAGATCGGTCTCATTTGACGTTCTTTGTTGCTCTTTCCACAGTAAAATAAAAAATGACTGAAAAATCCAACTTTTTTCCTGCCTTCAAACTTCGCCAGCTGTCCCGAGAAGTCGGCACTAAATGATGAATTTATCAGTTTTTCAGCAAAATCAGAAGCTATAAAAATATTTTACATTTAAAACATCATCTTGTGGGGGGTCAGATAAGATGCTGACAAGGGTCTGATCTGGCCTTCGGGCCTTGAGTTTGACACATTGTGAAAAAGTATTATTGGGTTTTATAGAGGAAAGTTGATGGACGTCTTTGGGTATCAAGGATCCTACATTTTATGTCTTTTTCATTTGCAGATAAAAAGGAAAAATTTAAAGCAAAACACTTAAAAAAAACACACCATGCAGTTATAATATGGAGCAACAATAATCAGTTTCCTTCAAAGCTAATTAAATTGACCATTAGCCACACAGTTGAGTGACCACACTCCCCGTCGCCCCCACATCGTATATAACGCAGAACTGTTGCGTCAGCCGTGCGCTTAGTGCAGGGAAAAGCTGTGTATACATTTTCTTTCTGCTTCTGCTCTGTTACGTAAGACTTTCTAGCCTATTATTCTGTGACTGAGCCCTGCAGAGCAGAGGGAGAAATTAAATTAAATCAGTGTAAACATGGCTCATCAGGATGTGAGCTTTCCCTCGCTTGCACGCTCACAAACACACACATCGACCCCCTGGTGTACGCCCTGTCAGTTCAGGAGCAGATTGCCATCATCCGTGTGTCAGACGTGAATCATATCTGAACTTGACCTCTCCTTCCATCCTGAGGAGGTGCACAACTGGGTGGAGGAGGTGCAAAATAAGGTTTCTGCATTTGCAACTGTTGCTGCATGTTGCCATCAAATCCAAGTGAGCTTCTATTTCTGTCTCCTCTGTAGGATGGCGTTAGCTTTGAGGTGCGGCGGTATGACCCTGCGAAGTACGCTGCTGTCTCCTCTGAGGGACGAACCTATGACCAGGTGATCGGGGAGCTGGTGAGGAAGCTGCTCATGTACATCGGTGGGAACAACGAACAAGGTAACACAAACAACCTTCACGTTTAACACACTTGTACAGTCAGTTCTGAGCAACACTGATTGTGATCTGTTCACTTAAAGTAAATCAGAGAAAATAAAATTCTAATTATGAAAAAGGTCATCCAATAAAAATGTACTAGAGTACTGTGATACATGTTTGTTTAAATTAGTATTTTTCAATTCATGGTATTTCTCAGTAGCCAAAATAAAAAACTTAAATGATCAGAATCATCCCATGCTTTTGTTTCTTTAATTTTTCTTTGCAATAATAATAACCCCTAAAACTTAATCCATTAAAATTATTGGATCGAGTATATGTGTCTGATTCCTTTTGAAATGACTCAGTATTGTTTCATTTAGTTTAAATCAGTGGTTCTCAAACTGTGGGGTCCCTGGCCCCCTGGGGGACCGCGAGCCGGTGCTTGGGGGTCTGCAAAAAATAATAATAATAATAATCGGAATTTTTTTTACAAGCACGGAGATGTTTAACAACTTATTCAAATACACTAAAATGCAGGAAATCGCATTACTTTATTCAAAATTTTCTGGGGGAGGACACCCTGACGAGATATTTGCGTTCCGGCAACGATCGGTTTACAAATGAAGGAAGTCCTGTTACTTGGTTTGATTACTGCTGCTTTGATTCTGTTCACTTTTATGAGTTTTCTGTAATAATTTGAAGAAGTGGAAATACATTTATTATGTTCATAAGTGACTAGGTAAAGTTTTAAAGTGGTTTTTGATTCTGTTAATTTTCTCAAAACTGTAACTTTTGGAAGTTGAAAAAAAAACAAAAAACGTGTTAATTAATTGTGTCTTGAATGAAAAACACCCCGTATTTAAAAGTATAAAAATTGTATTAACACTATTAAAGAACAGGTCTTAAGTATTTATGTTACACAAATATTTCCATTGCATTAAAGAGACAAATTTAAGAAAATTATTTAATAAACATGAGGGTTATGAGGGGGTTCCTGAACCCAAAAAGTTTGAGAACCACTGGGTTAAATTAATTATCGCCCGCTGTCGAAAGGAGAAGGTGAACAATGATGTTTTCACCTTTGTCTGTATACAGTATGCGTGTGTTTGTAATGAAAATATTTAGCAAACTACTGGATGAATCTAAATGAAACTTGCAGAAATTAATCCCTGGATCTGCAATTGACTAACTGTTAGAACAAATCCAATTCAAGATGGCTGCCACACTTAAACATCAGCCAACATATAATAAGTTGAGCAGTTTATTTATTGAGCTATAATTAGATGTGTCCAACATAAAGACAAACGTGAGAGTTAATAACGCATACTTGGTGCGAGATCTCGCAATATTGTATGAGGATGTGCAAAACGATGTTTTCAAGAATAATTTCTCAACATGAAAACATTTTAGTTTTCACCAAAGTCCATGCTCAATAATCCAGGTTAAAATCCGACAATGTTCAGTCAGGTAATCTGGACGGTTTCACCAGTAAAACATCTCAGCAACAAAAGAAACTGTCCAGATGACCTGACTGAACATTGTTGCATTTTAGTTTAAATGTTTTGCATGAAATGCAGCAGGTGATATACTTTTCTTTACGAAATGATAAGACTTTTTTTTAACAAATGCATTTAACATGACCTGTTTTGTGTTAAAGGTTTCATGGTTTTGATCACATGTGCATAAAAAGTTGATCAAATCTTGGCCTTATTATTTGTGTAATTTAGTATAAAGTTGTTTAAACTGTTAGTTTATTTATTTATTAGAAGTGGGGTTCTTTGATAAACATTTAATTTTATTGTTTAAGCCAAATCAGATTTTAATAATAATTTTTGCTATGTTAAGGTTTGTGATACGTTCAATTGTAATCTGTAAATTCAACAATCCAAACGTAAAATCTAGTTGCTCTTAAAAAATGGAAGGTTAAATATCTCATTTAGGTTTACATTGATGGTTTTCAATATTACTGTTGTATTTTGGTTTTATTACATGATATTTTACAGAAACATTAAGTTATGTGGGGTACTGTTACATTTCAGTCTGAATCACTGTAATTACATGTTGTGCATGAATGCAAGAGACTGGGTGAGCAGCAGGGGCTGCTGGGTAGTCTTGGGACAGAAATAGGTGGACTTTTTCAGGTTATGTGTTCAGATGGGGTGTCCCTGTTGGTTCTGTTCAGTTTTTGGTTTGCATTTATGCTTAGACTCTTGTTAGTGACCTTGAGAAAAAAGATGTCAGATTTTGTACATGATATATAAAAAGGAAGAAAGCACTTCCTGTTTAGCGAATTACTGAATTGTCATACTCAAAGTCGATGGATGCATTTGGACTGTCGTTTCGCAGTGTTTTGACATTAGCACTTATCGAAATGCTACGTTACGCCCTAGCTGAAGGCCCTGCTCTCATAGTTCACCACTGATGATATTAAACTATGATATTCTATGATAAACTATGATATTAAAAGTACATAACCTTTTCAATGAAACCCACTTTAAAAGATCTGAAATGTAGCTTCAACTTTGCTTCTTTTCAGGCTTTCCATTTTGTTAAAATCCATTTTATTTCACTCCATATTCACAGGCGAGGCCATGGGTATAGCGTTTCCCATCATAATCACAGTGTATCCACGGAATGATGGCGTTTTCTCTCGGCGTTTGGTAGTAGGCATCCGTATTCCTTCCATCTACCAACAAAGTCCCCCGACTCCCAGCGACAGTGCCATCAGGATTGAAGAGCGACCCGGCATGACCGTCTATGCTCTGTATGTACATTTCAAGAGTTTTTAGCACTAATGTATAGGGTACAGTAAAACCGGTGATGTGCACAATAACAAACTCATAAATATGGTGTCAATATATGACCTTGGACTAGTTTGGTTAAAGCTGTTGCCTCACAGCAAAAACATCTTGGTTTCAGTTCCTATCTGGGGCCTTTCTGCATGGAGTTTACATTTTCTCCTCGTACATGATTTCCCTGAGATTCTAAATTGTCCCTAGGTGTGAGTGTGTGCATGTTTGGTTGTTTGTCTGTGTAGCACTGTGCTGGACTTGAGACATATTCAGGGGGAACCCTGCCTCTCGTCCAGGAACTGCAGGACAGAGGCACCAGCCCCTCACAAACAGGAACACGCAGGTGTAGAAGATGGGTAGATGGATTAACTCTAACGAGCCGTGAATTGAGTTTAAGTCTGCAAGATCACGGGGTCGTAAACTCAGAGTAATGTTTAAACATCAAGAGAATTGTCTCTATCTGTTGATCCATCCATTTTTATACCCTTTGGTCCTGTGTAGGAGCTGGTGTCTATTTTCAGCGATCAGTGGGTGAGGGGGAAGTGGGGCTGACTCTTGACAGGTTGCCAGGTCCTCACAGGGCCACACAGAGACACTTGAGATAAAGAGCAACACATACACACACACGAGCTTATTTTAAAATCTTTAGTAAACCTAGCATGCATGTTTTGGTCTGTGGAGGGAAACTGGAGTCATGCATGCACAGGGACAACATGCTAACACCACACTGTAGAGAGGTGGTACTTTTATGACCTGGGCCTCTCTTGTTGCCCTAAAGCAGTAGAAATAAACAGAAAATCGAATTAAACATGTCACAGCATCTATCTGTAAAGAAAAAAAAAACTAAGAAAATATTACATTAATTATCTATTGTCAGTTCCTCAGGGTTTAAAATCTCTTTTCTCTGCTTCTTTCATTAAATATCAAGTGGACAGATTTTTTTTTAACTAATCATTATGATGTTACCATATTTTTTGCTCTATAAGTCACTTTTTTTTTTTGCATAATTTGCATGCACTGTGACTTATAGGCCGAAGTGACATATTTATGTTTTTTTCCCATATTTATAAAATAACTTTTGACTGAGATATGATCGTTTTCATTCATTCAGACTGAACATATTGAACACTAACATTTTCAACCGCTAGATGGCACTCAAGGAATATGGCATGCTGTTGTGTCATGTAATAGGTAAACATTAATATGTTTATCTATTAATGACACAACCAGCTTGCCATAATTTACCACCTTTGTCCAGCTCGCCTGGAGCATCAGTCAAACCAGCTTCATTTTTCTGCGTCACCTCGGCGAAATGCAGCTAATTTGATCATTTAAGTGCATTTTTTAAGTAAAAGTTCAACTGAGACACACCTTTACTATAATTTCGAGCAAACAAATAATTGTTTTAGGTGCTTATCTTGTTAAATTTCTAAGAAATGTGCTGCGTTCCTCCTTCCTGATTTCCTCCCTCTGTGCACTCCCGGAGCATCGAGACAGCGAATACTTTTGAAATGCAGCTGATTTGACCATTAAAGTGCATTTATTAAGTAAAAGTTAGACTGAGACCTTTGCTGTAATTTCGAGCAAACAAATAATTATTTTTAAGCGTTAATCTTGTTAAATTCTTGTTAAAATCCTCCTGTGCACGCTCCCGCGACCGCCATTTGGCACAACACCGGCCCCATTTCCAGATTGTCAGCGGTGACACATAATAGATGTGACGTATACAGTGAAGCGACATATTTATGGATTCTTCCACTTTATTAGACATATTTGGACTGATGCGACTTACAGGGTGGTGCAACGTGTACAGTGGAAAATATGGTAAAAACAAAAACCTAAAAGGGGCTGAAATGTGGCAGAAATTAGCAGAATAAACTGGGGGCAGAGATAATCTGAAATGAGCAGAGAAAAGATGAAATTATTTTTAAAAACATCGCTGAAAAGGCTACAAAAAAAGAGTAAAAGCTGAAAGGTTGAAAATAAAAATAATCGCAAAAGGCAGAATTAGCAAAAAGTAACCGAAACGTGTTAAAATGAGCTGAAAAATAACTTTAAAAAAAGTAGATTAAAAGCAGAAAGAAGCTGAAATTAGCAAACAATGTAAAAAGTAAGTGGGCTGTACTTACTGTATATAGCACCTTTCTATCTAATCAAGATACTCAAAGCTCTTTGCAGCACAATCTGTGCCCTAATTTACCTCCACACACACATGCATACAGCACTCTACTGCAAGATCCACTGAGTTCTTGATGATCCATAATTTCAGTATTTAGATATTAGCTATTATCCTCACAATTGTACATATTAATGTCTCCAAAGTCTGAATGTGTCGCACAATATGCCTTTTACTGTCATAGGAATTGTATGAAACTGTCTTTTAACTTGCATTAACACTATTACATGAACATGTTGTATTTTATGTTTTTAATGGGAATTGTTCATTGTGCATGTTTATATTGTAACAGTTTTAATGATGTATTTGTGGTTCTTTTGCTAAGGCAGCACTTGAGATGGCTTTGAATTCACAACAAATTTCCCTAGAAGAGCATCAAATATATTGTGCAACATCATGTCCTCTATGATATTATTTTATAAAGTCACATTCCTTGTTCAATCAGATTTCAGGAATCATTCTCCAGCTGCACCTCCTTGTCCAAATGATCTCATCTAAGCCAAGGCTTCACTAGTGAACCATCGTCATCCTCCACTTACAGCCTGTTCTGCGGATGTGCCTTTACAGGATTGTGGTTCATGATGACAAAACCATCCTAGCATACGTATCATTTGACCAAAAAGTGAGAAATGGGAGTTAAGTTTTGACCTCAGTTCAACAGAAATGTTGAGACAGGACGTGGAGTGGGCAGTTCATGTGAGGAGACGCACCAGCAGCCCAGAGTCAGAGCTGTGCTGTGCAGTGAAGTGAATTTCCTCCAAGCTGATGTGCAGAACTGAAAACTGTTTCAGAAACCACAAAGTTAACACTGTGCAAGATGACAGCTCACACTGGACTAAAAGCCAATGTTTCACAAACGTTCATCATTTATTGAGATGCAATATTTCTCAGTTTTCTCATTTAATAAACATTGGCTCTTCTAGGCACCCTCTGGACTTCATCAGTACCAACATTTACTTGCCACTGAACAAGGAGCAGCTGTTTGTTACAAATGGCTCTTTCGTGGTGTGAAAATTCTCTGTTGTTGCCTGTTTTTCGCAGACAGTTTGGTGGCTTCGCAGGGGAGAGCGAGTACCGAGCTGAGGCCCTGCGTCTGACGCGCACCCTGGGTGAGACGGCGCCCTATCAGCGCAAACAGTTCCTCTGCTGCAGCTTCGACCCGCCGCTCAAGCCTTACGGACGTAGGAACGAGGTTTGGTTTCTACAGGAAGAGCCATGAAAACATTCTACTTAGTCAAAACAGATCGGTTTGTTACAAAACCCTAAATTTTATACGTTTTACAGCTTTCACCCCCGAAAGCTGTAAAACTTAAGTTGGGTGTTCAGCAGCGGGACCGTTTGAATAGAATCGTCAAGAAAGAAGCAGCTTTTATTTATTGGACTTTCTATGTTTTTTAACTTCTTTAAAACTTTTACTTAAAACAACAGAACAAATCTTAATAAATAGGTTTTACAAGAGGGATTATTATTTTTTTTTTTTGAAGGAAAGCAGACTCACTGGAAGTTTTTTAATCAATAATGCAGCACATAGACACAAATCCAACTTCCTCATAGCCATTAATAAATGTAAATCTGTTTTATATATATATATATATATATATATATATATATATATATGTATATATATATAAGAGGATTTATCCTTTTCATTTCCATCCTAACTGTTTTTCCTTTAATTCTATTACGTAGTTTCTGAAAGAACTCCCTGAATTTATTTAAAGCTATGGGAAATTATAAAGAATTATGACTTCAGATACAGGGTTATAAAAAGCACACCTATTTCTGTGTAAGAAACTCAAAAGAATTGAAGATCTAGTATTTCTTAAAGGAATGCATGTCCACCACAGACAGTTTTAAAAATTAAGGTCATGTCAGGGGAATTTACTGTAGGTAAAGGTTTATGGATGTTTATCACTGCTTATGTTGAATTAATGTTGAACCATGTGTGTGAGGTCAGAGAGTTGTTTTTCTTTCTCAGAGAAGACCCTGCAAGCACAGCCTCCGAGTCTGAGAGGCCGAGGTCATCGTATATAAAAAACACTTCTCGCACACTGTCCGTTGCAGATTCTCATGACGAGGCTCTAAGCATGTAACTTTGATCATCTGTACAAGCCTGTTTTGTGACCGTCTGCCCTCGCAAGTAAACTGGGTTAAAAAATCTCCTGTCGTTGAGTGTGGCTTATTATGAGTAAGCAGATAATGTATGGATATTTTTATCCAACAGATCGTACAATGCAGTTGTAGTTGTTTTGGAAAAAAATATTGTGATGTGCAATCTGTGTCCCGGGATGTCCTGCTCCAAAGACGTGTTGTAAACTACATTACAGTTTGTCTGAACATCTGTAGACCAGACTGAGTTAACGCCATCTCTACGTTGGCTAAGACTGACTAGTTATGGCGGCCATTTTAAACTGGGTTGACTCTAAACGTGCATCAGCTATAGCTGCACATCCAGGGATGATCAGTAAAATATGTCCACTGGTTCATGAGATATTTTGCAAACAGACAAACTTCCAACAGTTAGTGCCAAAGTTTTAAGCAAAGATTTTGTGCAGCGCTCAGACAACATGTTCTTTAAGATGCTCAGCTACTACCCTCTACTATCTTACCTCCCATCACAACTTCTTGTTAACTCTGTTCCTGTGTCAAATAAGCACGAGATCCTGAACTGTTTCAACAAACATTTTGTTGCTTCTAGTTCTTTATTTGATACAGTTACTAATGGAAAATCAGCCACTTCTCCTTTAAGCCAAACTTCAAGCTTTTGACACTGTGGATCATAACATCTTGTGTCATAAGCTCTCAAAAATCGGTTTCTCAGATCACATCACTGGTTGGTTCTCTAACTATCTCTCAGATCGGAGGCAATATGTTCAACATAATGGTACTTCCTCCTCCTGTTATTTAACAGTCAACAATGGTGTACCACAAGGCTCAATCTTAGGACTCACCATCTTTACAATCTACATAGGTAATGTAGGTCAGAGCATCCTTGATGCATCCATACATTTCTATGCTGATGACATAGTTGTTTATAGTCGAGCTAAAACAGTTGCTAAGGCTTTCCAGCTTTTGCAATCCGCCTTTGACATCACCCAGTCAGATTTGTTCCATCTCAAACTTGTCCTAAATGCCAATAAAACCAAAGGGATGTTGTTTTCAAACAAGAAGTCGGTCCCAGTAGTTCTTCCTCTGATTTTATCCTCAAATGGTGTCCTTATTGAGTTTGTCGATTCCTATAAATATTTGGGTATCTTGGTCAGCTCGCATCTCTTTTTTAAGCTCCACGTTTTAAAACCTAGTAAAGAAACTGAAAGTTAAACTGGGTTTCTTTTTCAGAAATAGATCCTGTCTAACTTTCCTTCCCTCCATTGATTACAGTGACATCATTTACATGAACTCTCCTACTAGCACCCTTCATATGCTGGATGCTGGTTATCATGGTGCACTAAGATTCATAACTGGCTGTGATTATCGTACCCACCACTGCACCCTGTATTCACTGGTTAACTGGTCATCATTAACTTCACACAGACCCTTTCACTGGTACATTTTCATTTTTAATTCACTTCTTGGTCTGCTGCCTTCATACATCTCCTCCTACATGTCTCTGCGTGAGTGCAGCTACAACGTGCGCTCTCAGGACATTATTACCTGCAGTGTTCCCTCAGTGAGGACTGAATTAGGCAAAAGGGCCTTCTCCTACTCCGCTCCTGTTTACTGGAACATCTTACAAAAAGATCTGAAGCTCTCGACCTTGACCTCTCTAAGTGGCTTTAAACATCTGTTAAAAATTCATGGGAAAAAACGATGCAAACATGTTCCTGTTTTTAGTTTTCTACACTGCCTTATAATCTAGCTGATTTTTTTTTTTTTTTTTTGCTACTTTTCTCTTTTGGTTGCCATTTTATTTTAATTTGTAAAAATAATAATAATAATAATTTATTAATTAAATCTGTATGCCTCTTTTGTGACTGTCTATTGTTGTCGTTGTAATCCATTGTTGTCATCATTCTTTGTTGAAATCAGGTCTCTCTTGTAAATGAGTCCTCGAGGCTCAATGGGATTAACCTGTCTAAATAAAGGTTGAATGAAAAAAAACTACCACATCAAGTTTTAGCTGACTGTCAAATCGACTGCTAATGTCATTATTTGTGTTTTCTAAGATTGGCTGTTTGCCTTCTTGAGTTGTGTTTGATACAAAAATAAAATCAGTTGTAGATGTCCATTCAATCTGTGTTTTCCGAAAATTTTATTAAATGCTGTTTAATGAATAACAAGATGTTTTGCTAACAGACAAAGACACCCTCAGACAATGAGAAAAACATCTCCCATCTTTCACCTTCCAGCAGCAGGGTGATATTCAGTTTAGAAACAGGTGGGAGATGAATTTTAACGTTTTAAAGTTTTGTGTTCACATGTTGGTTCAGCAAGAGTTTGTGTTTTAATGCGTGAAATATGACATCCTGGTTTTTATGAAATTCTATGTTCTTTTTGTTCAAATCCATTTTCTGTGGAGTGACGTTAATCTCCAGGCTTGGCATTGGCTTGTTACATAATAAATACATTATTCAGTTAAAGTGTGGACTGCTCTGCTTTTATTTTGACAAGTTTTGTGTTTCTTTCACAATAAGGTCCTGCACTCTATTGTTTGATTTCCCTCAAATCAAAAACACAAAATATTAAACATGACAGGCAGCTTAAAATACATTTGTTCCAGTTAATGCTGTAGTAAAATCACTTTTAAAGTAACGCACACAAATATATAAAAAGAGACTTTGTTCACAAAGTCATAGTTTGGATTTTTGGGGAATTCTGTGGAAGTGTTATTAATGATTAATATCTTACCTGTTCCAGATAGCTCCTGGAACAGAAACAGTTTGGAAGGAACAGGTTAATTCTGAGTTGAACAGTCCGAGCGAGGCTAACTCAAAAGTGTCGTTTTAAAATAACTCGTCTAAAAGTTTCATCCTGAGTCATTCAAGTTCTGTTTTGTCATCAATCAGTTTTGAACTACATAGTTACATGTATTTTGGCAAAAATATTATGATATTCCTTCTGGATGTGCCAAAGGCAGCACCAGAGATGCTACAGCTAGCTGCTTCTACATTTTGCATTTGTAAAAAAAATCCCAATTTTTATTAAAAATAATGCATCATGTGAAACTGATGGTGATGAAAATGTTTAGAAAACAGTTGTAATGAAATGTGAAACTTTTAAGATCACAAGATTGCAACAGTTCACTCTGATCTTTGCATGCTGACAGAAAAAAAAGACAAGAATTTACCAATTTTTTCACGTGACTCCATGTAGTAAATCACGTGACTACATGAACATGGTAAAAATATGCAAGTCATGTTTCTCATGCTTGTTCAACGTGTTATAAATGATACAATTCAGAGCTTTTTGGTCCAAATTCAAATGTGAAGCATGCCAAATGTTTTTATGTCACATTTAACTCAATTTCACATAAGAAAACATGCACTTTGTACTCGTTTCTTCATTTTTGTGAATAATATTTATTATATTAAGAAAAACAGTGCAACATGTACAAACCAGATTCCAAAAAGTTGGGACACTAAACAAATTGTGAATAAAAACTGAATGCAATGATGTGGAGATGGCAAATGTCAATATTTTATTCGTAATATAACATAGATGAAAGATCAAAAGTTTAATCGGAGTAAATGCAACATTTTAAAGGAAAAATATGTTGATTCAAAATTTCACAGTGTCGACAAATCCCAAAAAAGTTGGGACAAGTAGCAATAAGTGGCTGGCAAAAGGAAATTGAGCATATAACGAACAGCTTGAAGACAAATTAACACTAATTAGGTCAATTGACAACATGATTGGGTATAAAAAGAGCTTCTCAGAGTGTCGGTGTCTCTCAGAAGTCAAGATGGTAAGAGGATCACCAATTCCACCATTGTTGCGCAGAAAGATAGTGCAGCAATACCAGAAGGGTGTTACCCAGTGTAAAATAGCAAAGACTTTTAAGTTATCATCATCAACCGTGCATAACATCATCAAAAGATTCAGAGAATCTGGAACAATCGCTGTGCGCAAGGGTCAAGGCCGTAAAACTCTACTGGATGCTCGTGATCTCGGGGCCCTTAAACGTCACTGCACCTCAAACAGGAATGCCACTGTCAAGGAAATAACAGAATGGGCTCAGGAATACTTCC